ACTTCTTCGTACTTTTTCGTACTTCTTCGTACTTCTTGGTACTTCTTGGTACCCATGAAAAAAAAATTTGTAAAAATTTGCGTTTCAACGCATTTTCTCTAGTTCACATGTTTTCACTAGACTTTGAACGCAGTTTTTAAAACGCATTGAAACGCATCATTTAGTAATTGAAACGGATATGTATCGAATAAAACGCGTTTCTAAAAATGCATTTGAATGCGTTAAAATGGCATATTATTGTTACAAAAGAACGTATAAGAGCGATTCCCTGTGAATCATTTTGAACGTATCCTATTTACAGCTAATTTTCTAGTAATGATGGATATATATGTATCTAATCTATGTATATTTACTCCTTTAGAAGTTAGCAAGAATTGTACTTGTGTTTCTTCCTCTAAAAGTCTTTTTTTTACACATTTACAGAATAATATATGTAAAAAAATGACTTCTAGGGGAAGAAACACAGGTACAATTCTTGCTAACTTCTAAAGGAGTAGATATACATAGATTAGATAAATATATCCATCATTACTAGAAAGTTATCTGTAAATAGTATACTTTCAATTTGATTAAGAGGAGATCGCTCAAACATGAACTCTTATTAGATTGCAACAATTAGTCAGATCTAACTGGAGTTTGTATGGTAATTTTCACTTCTCGGAAGGATAGATAGGGTTCACTAGGGACAAACGAAAAGAAGGATATGGTTCGAGTAAAATAAACGGAAGGAGGGTATTGTTAGAGTATAGAAAACGAAAGAAGAATATTGTTACAGTAAAATAAGCGAATGAAAAATATGGTTAGAGTTTAAAAAAGCGAAAAGTAGTGTATGTTTAGGGTAAAATAAGCAAAGGATACAGTAAGGTCGGATCGAAGAAAAGCTTCGTATGCAGAAAAATAAGATGGAAAAAATAATCTTGTAAAAACCTAATTCGAACTAAAAGTACAGAATCTGGCGATTATATACACAAATGGATCAATACTAAAACAGTACTTATATTGAAGAAAATTTATAAATTTTTTGCTTTTTTACATGTAGATCCAAAATTGCTTTTGAATAAAACAGAATTATATTTGAAAAATATATGTTATTAGCTATGTTTTGAGTACCATCTATCAAAGAATTTTGTTTTTTTCAAAAAATAATTCAGACTCACCCAGAAAGACCTTTCAATTTATAATAGAAAAAAGAAGAATTTTTATAATAAGAAAGTTTATTCAATGATATTCTATGTATGTCAAATTACATCAGCTGCAACTATAGTTTAATAACAATGGACTTTTTTGAATTACGAGATCACATAGAAGAGAAGAATAGAAAATGATAGAAAATATCACACTTCGCACAAGAGTTATCATTACAATTTTAATCACTAAGGGAAAGGAACTAACATATTCCAAGCACTGATTATGTAACTCTCGAAAGATTTCTAAACGTACTATAATTATTCAAATTTTCATTGGAGAACAAAGCAGCCAGCGTTTCTGAACGGTCTATAAAAGTAGTAAATATTGAAAAGAAATAGAAACTTTTATTTCTTTGAAAGAACATTCGAAAAGTTATAAATATATAAATACTATTCCTTTTATTCTATTTTGATCTAGCTGAGTTTGGCGAAAAATTATCAGTATACAATAAATTCACAACAAAAGATATTACATTTACAACCTTAAATTATTCCAAATTGGCACAATTTCAAGACTACCGGTCTTTATAGACGTAGAAATGTACATTATTTTGATCTCACTAGTAAAATTACATTAATAACGACATCAAATAATTTATTGTTACAAATTTAGTCCTTATGTAACACTAGAAAAGATGAAATATTGCTGAATTTTATTACAAAAAAAGTTTTGTGCGATAATGTTGAATTTGAGACAATTGATTTTGATCATCATATTCATGTTAATGTAAATGATATGAATATGGAAATGTATGCTACTATTAATTTGAAAATTTTTATTTTATTCGGTATCTAACGTTAAGTGAGCCTAGTTTGAGAACATGTTACTACTTATCTTGAATTGTTGGCTTTTCTTTTGTATAAAATACATGCTGTCTTTTTCAACATTATTCGAGTATATTTTTTATCTTATTCTATCATAGAGTCGTCATGAACCGTTATACCTTTTAACTTACATATGTTGACATTCATGTCACCCAACATTTATTCTAGTTAACATAGATCTCTATTGTATATAAGAACCAGCCCACATAAGCCACGACCGATTACTATAGGACCTGCTCAATCGATATCCTCCAATTCGGCTCATTTTAACATATGTGATAGAGGCAAGAGTTTGATGAATTTTGGCGAATATTTTCCAGTGTGGAGATATGAGCTACCAAAGTAGGTCAAAATAGTGATTTTTTTCTCCAATAGTGAATCCCATAAAAAACCAAGGACTTAAGCCTTCAAGCTGAAATTATTTTTATGTGTAGAAATTGTTGGTGTATAGAACTACAAAAAATTTCAGCTCGATTGGTTGAGTCATTCTTGAGATATAATGTGCTTAAAATCCTTTGCCGATGATTGTGGAGCTTTATAATGCTCTTCGTAAAAATTCGACAAAAAATCGAGAGTTCAATATTTTTTGAATCGGCTTTCGCCAAAATTCATCAAACTCTTGCCTCTATCACTTATGTTTAAATGAGCTAAATCGGAGGATACCGATTGAGCACTGTCGATCGTGGCTTACGTGGACTGGCTCATAAACACACCTTTTCTAGAACCACATGCATGCAAACATTCGTTCAAACTCTTTTCTAAACTATTCATTTTTTCGGGAAAAAAACGCATCAAAGAGAACAACGTTGTAACGCTTTTCAAAAAACACTTGTTTTTCAATAGAAGAAGGCTAAAAACGCATTTGAATGCATAGCGAACAAATGCGTCCAAACGCATAAAACTGAATGCATTCAAACAGTGTCTTTAAGTTGCGTTTTAATTTGAAAAAATGCGTTCAAAAGATAAAAGATGCGTTTAGCGCGTTGAACTTAAATAGGAAGCGCTGAAACGCAAAAATAGCGCTTTTTTCCTAAAAGTTTGCGTTGGAACGCATTTTTATAAAAATTATTTTGCATGGGTACTTCTTCACAAATATCAAAAACTCTGTTCTACAAAAACAGAACACTTTTGTACTGTTTTCGGAAAAAATCGAGGAAGAAAGCGTGTACTTCTCTGTACTTCTTGTACTTCTTCGTACTTTTTCGTACTTCTTCGTACTTCTTGGTACTTCTTGGTACTTCTTCGTACTTCTTCGTATTTCTTGGTACTTCTCTGTACTTCGCTGTACTTTTCCGTACTTTTGTACTTCGGAAGTACAGAAGTCCGCTTGTTCCCCCTTGATAGTTTTTCATTGTTCAAAATAGTAGATCACCATTGTGGTTCACAATCGAAAATATTTAATACACTTAAAACCGGTTTCGTTCACATGTCTAAGAGTCAATAGTTACAAAGGGCACGATAAAAAAAGTCATTTGATTAATTTTTATCCGAAATCAAATTGCTATTGAAATCTAATATCTGGGTATATCACTTGCTTCAAGCAATATTGATATGAAACACATGAGAACACGTCTCGCATTGTTTGTCATTGAGTGAATGGTATTTTTTTTATAGGATATTAGCGCACGTAGAATGAATGCTATTGAGATTCTTACTTAATTCCATTGAGTTTTGCTATATATGTTAATGGTTATTTTAGCAATTTTATCTTACTTTAATGAATTATCGTTAAATGAAAGAATTCGAGCGTTTTGAAAATCAAATCATCTGGTTCAAAAGGCAGGGAATGATGATCTGTGGATTTTATTGAAGGTAAGTAAGGATATGAATGTTAAAAATATCCAAAGACTCCAGTATTCATATCTTTTTTTTATAATAGTTGTTTATTCTTAAAATGATATTGCTGCAACCAAAAATAGACGGTTAATGGATTCTAAACACACATTGCTTCTCGTAAAACTGCTAGAAAATGTCATTAGATAATTTATTGATAGAGCCACTAGTTGAAGAGTGTAAAAAAATGAATGACTGACGATAAAAAGTGATTTCAACAGTATGGATAAGAGCTCTAAATTTCAATCTGTTCTCACAGTCATTCATACCCGCTATTTGGTTTTTCAATAATAGAAAAAAAATACCTGCATTGATATATCTTTTGTTTGTTGATTGGAGTCATATTTAAGAATAAATAATCAATCAAATGAATTTATAATAACAGGATAACGTAATAGTGAAGATGATAATATTGTTAAAACATCGTTCTAATTTTACAAATGATTCTTGTTTTTATTCATTTAATAAATATTCATCATTGAATTTCTCTTGAACACAGTCTATTTCTTCTAACAGTTCTTTCATCAATACCTAAGTTTTCTATTGAATAAAAA